TTTCAATTATTTAGATTTAATATTTAATTAGTAATTACGCTTACGTTTGTGTAATTTAAGATAAAACTGGGGTAGTTATAGTCGTGAAAAATCATTAAGATGATTTGAAATCGGTATTGCATACCTATATTAAGCATTTCATATTATTTCTTTCACAGTTATACTGATATTGTAAATTAAAATTAAAATTTTCATCATAAAATGACCACTAACGTGTCACCAAGTAGATCAAATATAATGTCTTCATCGCACCCAAGTAAGGGTTCTTTGACAGACCGACCAAGTAGTTGTTCTAATAAGAGTCTCGTGCACAATAAATCATGTCCTGTACATTCAAGACATTTATCATACAAAACAATTGGACAATGTCATGATAAAATCGAGGAATTAGAAAAACAAAATGCCCGCCTTGTCTCAAAGGTATGTGTAAATTTACATAAAATTATCATACACAGTAGCTTATTGCCATATTATTGATACCTACCTACCTAATTTCCTGATAAATTATTTATTAAAAAGTTTAATATTTCAACAAATACTGTTTTTATAGATTAAAGTATTAAAATATCAACTAAAAACATCATCTAATTTATACAATAATATTCATCAAAGGCCAGAGAAACCTTTATCAAGACATTCACAAAGGTTCGTATAAGTTTTAATATGATTAATAACTACATTAAAAGGAGATAAATATTCAGTTAAATTATATAGGTCGACGCCCATAAAGTTACAAAAAATTTCAAGATTATCTAGAGTAGGCTTTGATGAAAATGAAAAGACTATTAAACTTCCTGAAAGAGTGGGTATTTTTGCATTGAAATTAATAATTAAAACTAATATGTATTTATTTATATTTACTATGTGTGTATTTTAGAAATTTGAAAGCACAGAATCATTTGATAGTGAAAGTAGCTTAGTAGAAAATAAAAGTAWATTTAAAGGAAATATTGAACTAATACAATCTCACAGAGTTATAAAAAGTATGGAGATTCAAATGGAAACTTTACAGGCTCAGTGTAAAGCTTTTGAACAAAATATAATGGATATAAATGAATTGTTTGATAAAGAACGCGAGGAACATGGTATGATTATGACTTATACCTAAATTATATTCAGATAATTAATTATATTATTTTTTTAATTTGCACGTTTAGAAAAATTGAAAGAAATATTAATTAATGAAAGACATATTTTAAGTGAACTAAAACCAAAATATAATGCTTATAAAGAGACTAATAAAGTAT